GATAAGAAAATACTATTTTTGCCTCTAATATGAAAGGAAAAACAAGTAATGTTTCTGTGCATGTATAAATAACGACCTAGAAGCAAGTAGCAAGCAGCAATTTCGATAAAATCGTTTTTAAGACCAAAATCTACACTAGCGCCAATATTAACGTGAAAATAATATCATAAAACACTTTCAAACATCGCCTAGAGGCTCTAAAACTTTACTTAAAATTAGTTCTAAAATAAATTTAATGCTAAAATTAATATATATAGAGTGTACATTCAAGTGTATGTTTGTGGGCGTGTGCTATTATAGTGCGATGTTATGTGGATGCCGAACATGGTCAGCACTTGTTAGACATTACCGCTTTGTACCTACGACTGATGCGTGGGATGATATTCATGTGATTTACAAAAATACAATATAGGTTCACGTCTTCGCCATAAAATGCATTTTTTTAGTATAAATCCTCTTTCAAACCTACTCTGAATGCCAAACGCCAATCTTTAGCTTTCTACGTTTGCCAATTTAGTTGTTCAATGTCTTTCAATCACTATATGTGTTCAATTTCATCTTCATAAGTCTTGTGATAGAAAATGCTTTTTAAAATTTTATCAAATGTTTTGTGTGTGTAATTATATGACGTACAACGAAAAAAATATAGGCTAACGATAGATAAATCACATGTCTATTTGACTCACGTGTCCAGGACACTGTTAAAGTGAAATACATAATATTAGTTCGCCATGGTTTTCTTCGAAGCTACAATAAGTCTGATTGGAGGCCTTTGTCCAGCAGTAGCCGGCTGTTGATGATAATAATGGTTCTATTGATAGATACATGATACAACAAAGAAATATCACCCTATAGACACGGCGAATAACTTAACCCTAGATTAGACTAAACTACACTAAAACCAGAATTTCCAAAAAATACAGATAAAACCTGCATAATACTACAATTCCACTATAGCTACCCCCTGTATAGATTATACAGGATGTGTTCAACTCATAGTCCACTAATCAAACTTTAAAAACAACTTCGAAGAAATAACTATCTGCAACTATTATTATGTACTTACCTTTACAAAAGCGAGGTGGCGGTGCCTTTAGTAAGTGTGCATCACTCTTAATACATAGACATGCACAGTGCTTGATTGAGTAGGTACGATGCGCGCGCGCAGACTTGGACGTTTCTGGGAATATTGTATAATTACACTTTATAAAATAATCTGCATCGATTTGTTGATGGTATTGAATAAGAAATTGTGGATTAGGACTGCATTTAGACGATTTTAGTGATTTGAGCTTAATGTGTTGAAAGGGAAAGTTTAATTTGCATTAATAGTTTGACTCTTTAGGTATAAAGTGAAGGTTGACTTCTGTTTTCTAAGGCATTGGGGCAACGATCATCCGTTACGTCATAATTATGTGTACGATTGCAATATTTTATCTACAAATCGATTTTTGAAGCATTTTTAATACAAAAATATTCCCAATAACGTCCTAGCGCGCACAGCGTCAAAACGCTCTTAACTACATTAAAAAATCTCGATGTTTTATCCATGCAACACTCCTGACTCTGTTTGTTACCGATTTATCTTACACACAATAACAGCGCCGATGTGCGGACGACACGCCTAACAGCGGGGTGTAGCGCTTCCTCTACACGCTTCGAAACAATCACTCATTAATCATTAAAACATATTTTGTGTTAAATGTGGGTACTTTTAATTTCGACGGTTTTGGTAACACACTGTATATAGAGTGTATTTCGGACGTTTAAAAAATAATGCTACGGTGCTCGTAGCGGGTGTGCTACGCCGTAGCATGTGCTACGTCGTAGCATTTATGAAGATCTGCTACGAGGTTTTTTGTTTAATGGGGGTAGGTGTTTTTGCTGTCTGAAATGCACTCTGTATTGTTAGTACGAGAGCGAGCTACACCCTAGCGCGCATGTCTTCACTCGGCGCGCGCATGCACTCAGCTCATACCGTTGTACATACGTACTGCAAGGTTTAGTCGCTGCATAACACATGTCTTGTACGAACCCCCTGCCTCACCCGAATTAGGGGGTTCCATACCCCCTCCGGTCCGAACGACCTTCCCAAATATTTTTTTTGGTCGAACTAACCCCGTCACTTAAAATTTTATTATTCGTGTACCGCATGCAACGATTTTCCTCACTTTTCGATACCTTGTGTATGTGTTCCGTGTTTCTCGTGTATCTGGAGGTCGTCGTGTTTCGCCCCGTGTGGCGCGCGCTGGCCGCGCGTCGCCCACCAATGGCGACGCGGTTCGCGGCCGGTTACCCACGAGCCGCGGCCCACACGGGGCGAAACTGTCGACGGTTTTTGCCACACTGTTTATTTAAGATTTTTGCCGCTAGCAACTCAAGCTTTGGTATTATGTAGAGAATAATATAAAAAAAAATATTTGGCTGGTCGCTTTGATTATTAGAACTTGGCTGTTTCCTAAGATATGCTCTTTTTAATGTGAACAATTAACACTGTTTCATGGCGTTTAGCGAGGTATTGTGTGTCCGAGTTACACTAGCAGAAATAAGTTTTTCTCTCGTTCTTATAGATATATTTATATTATACTTTTTATTTTTATAATTTATATCTTATACTGCCGATTTTATCTAAGTATATAAACAGAAGTCATAATAGATTCGTTAGACCACCGTAGCGATGTAGTTATCCCTAAATATATCACTTAAAAGTTATTTTTTTTCTATATTTTTTATATTTCTATAATTATATATGTTTAATATATACGTATATGTTATTTTTCTTGGATAAAATGTGAATAGTTTTGGCACAATTTAAAATAATTCCAATAGTTTCGTCACGTGTGTGGTTTATTTATTTATTTAATAAATAGGACGAGTAGAGAATCTTTAAGCTTATCGTACAAACGCTGATCCAATAAACTCCTGGTATTTTGGGCTCCATTTTTTGACGTTTTTTTTTTAAATAGTTTACATCCTGACGTTCCTAAATACGCTTTTTTTTACCAATTTTTTTGGAATAATGACGAATTTTCTGCTTCTTTGTGTCCAGTTCAAGATGTATGCTATTTTTAAATTGTCTTTGATTGATTATAACACGGTTTGTTAGTTATTTGGGAATTGTTTAACTGCGATGTTGGTCTTTTGGTTGCAAAGTTGGCGAGTCATCTAAGTAGATCCCTAAGTCGTATTTACAGGGACTCGTGTTCATAACCCCCTTATAGTATATTTTTAGAATGAGATCAAATTTAAATTCAAATTTAGTCGTTGCAGGAGAAGGAACGGGGTGGTTTTTAGTCAGTAAGAGTTTGACACTCCCTCCCGCCTCACCCAGGCGGAAGCAGTCATTCGATGATTTTCCCCCCTTAAAAAAAACACTTGTTTAATATAGATAAACGAACATTAATTCTACAACATTGTCTCAGTAATCTTACTAATACCATATATACATTGGAAATAACGTCGTTGTTTGAATTAAAAACTAAAAAAGATTAATTTAATTCCAACTGCTGACTGCACGGTTAATGCGGTGGCTGGGTGGAGGCTGGTGGATCGATTCCCGCACGGGACAACACTTTGTGTGATCCACAAAATGTTGTTTCGTGTCTGGATGTCATTGTGTATGTGAACTGTATACCCACGACACAGGAGAAAATCTTAGTGTGGGGCAATGTTATAATTAAAAAAAAAACTACAAATAGAACTTAAACTGTCAAACACCGCGAGGACACCGGTGGCCGCAACCTATTGTTCTTTAATTGTGTCTATAATGACGGGTTAAAGTATTTGATAACTTTTGCAACCATTCGACCAAATAAGCTAATGATCTAAGTTTTTATAATAAAACCGTGGTATGTTCAATCATATATAATGTGATGGTGGATTGCAGATTGTGAGAAGCACTCAATGACGAACTATAATTTATTTGGTCTGCTATTATAAATTATGTCTTTAACACAATAAACTCCGTCATAACTTTATAAGTCCTACCTATAATTATCTGCCTCGTTGGCCGTGTGGTCGCAAGTGCGACCGGCAAGGGGTCTCGGGTTCGATTCCCGGGTCGGGTAAAGATTTACAGGGTTTTTTAAAACAATTGTCAGTAGTAGCACAGAGTCTGGAATTGTGCCCAGTATATGGCAATAGACTCACCCCCTATTACATGGGACTCATAACATAAATAGTGAAAAGTGGGTGTTACATTGTACAGTGGCATTAAGTGCCGCAATGTGCACCTCCGCCTACCCCTTCGAGGATATAAGGCGTGATATTATGTTATGATAGTTTACTTATAACATTATCCCCATATTTTTAGTGGTATCCACAGGATTATGTTTTTTAACTTAATAGTCCAATGTTCACTAAACTGCTTTAAAAATATGGCCGCCGAAACTAAAATACTCTTTCAAACCAGCCTGATAGTTCCAAGGATCAGCTGGCATAATCGGGTACTTTCCTCAATCAAAAATGAATAATTTCGACTGTTCAATACAATAAAATAATAAAAAAGTAATCACACTTTTATTAATTGATTTTATGACCAACTTAATTTTAGTATTTTTCCAGCAAATTTTTAAGAAATAAGTATGCTGTTTGACGCTAAAAAAACGTGACGTCACAATACATAATCTGGTACAATATTCATAGAAAACTGTCGTTTTTGATAGTTCGAAAAAAGTATTGAAAACTCCACTACCGTTTTCTTTTAAGAAAAAACCCTGTAATTAAATAAAGATAAAAAAGTCGTTATCCGCAGTCTGTCTGTCCCTATGTATGCTTAGATCTTTAAAACTACGCAACGGATTTTGATGCGGTTTTTTTTAATAGATAAATTGATTCTTAAGGAAGGTTTATATGTATAATACATGCATATTGTACCGTCGCTAGTATAATATAACTTAAGTATAATAATACTACTTAAATATAGACCAAGTCATTGCGTGCCTCTCTCAATCGCTAAATCCTCGCCCCTGCACCTGTATACTGACGTGTACCGGCCGTAGATGGGCGGCGTGTACGCCGGGCTCCAGTACCACGGAAGCTTCGCCCCGCCGCCACCGCCCCGAGGTCCCTTCGCGTCGCCGCCGCATCCACACACGCATTATATTACAAATTCTCAGGTTGGTATCAGTTTTTAATTACTATTCTAGGCCTAATCTCCGAATCTGCGCGCGCCTCAAAGAGCCATCAGACCACCACAGATGGGGCCCAACAGGGCCGATGCCGATTCGGAGTCGCGGAGAACCTAACGGGTAACCGGGGCTCCGGCTCGACGTGCAGGAGAAGGAACGGGGTGGAGCTCCCAGGCGGGAGCATTGATTAGATGATTTTCCCCCTTAAAAAAAAATCCCAAATCCTTAACCCTTAGAGTGCCACGTCAGTCACCGGTGCCTGACGCTAGTGGAGGTTTGACTTTCACCATTTTAAACTTGGCAGTTAAAGTATTAATCTCCAAATCGGCAATCTATAAAATATAATCTCCAAATTTATGTTTAGAGATCTTGAAACCTCTATATTTTTGTATTTTATCATTTATTTATTTAAATAGGTATATTCTTCCTTATGAGCAGCGTGCACGGCGTCACCGCGGCCGCGCACGCTGCTCATAAGGAATACACCCCTCTGTGGTTCGAAATGTTATTAATGTAACATTTCAAACGTACATACATATTTAAAGATTAGATAGATAGACTGCCTCGTTGGCCGAGGGGCCAAGGGGTCTCGGGTTCGATTCCCGGGTCGGGCAAAGTATTACTGGGTTTTTCAAAAATCTCAGTAGTAGCACGGAGTCTGGAAATGTGCCCGGTATATGGCAATAGGCTCACCCCCTATTACATGGGACTTATAACATAAAATAGTGAAAAGTGGGTGTTACATTGTACAGTGGCATTAAGTGCCGAAATGTGCACCTCTGCCTACCCCTTCGGGGATAAAAAGGCGTGATGTTATGTTATGTTATATTTAAAGATTAATGAAAATGAATGCTTTTAGCCTTTTTTCTTTGACTTTTAACAATTTATTTATGTACAGCGCGCTGAAGGCGGTCGGCTAGAGATGGTGGGAGGCGGTGAAGGCACCCTCTCCCCCCTGCAGCCGGCCACCGACCTGCATCACGCACCGTTATTACTTGCCACTGAGGTAAGCAGCACTGTCATTTTAAGTGTGGGAGAGCCATACTTCGGCACGAGTGGGCCGGCTCGACCGGAGTGATACCACGGCCGAGCAGAAAACCAATCTCCCCAATTCCCGAATCCCCAACAATCTTCAAATTCTTAATCCCAAAAAGGCCGGTAACGCACTTGTAACGCCTCTGGTGTTGCATATGCGTTGCATTTTTATATGTATACTAGCTACTTCCCCGCGGTTTCACACGCTCTGCTCAGCTCCTATTGGTCGCAGCGTGATGTTTTATAGCCTATAGCCATCCTCGATAAATGCGCTATCCAACACAAAAAGAATTATTCAAATCAGACTTGTAGTTACGGAGATAAGCGCATTCAAACAAACAAACAAAAACTAACTTTTCCGCTTTATATAATAGTATAAGATAAAAAATGTCAACGTTTGTACAGGCGCGAGGAGCTCCCATTGAGCTGATGGCGCCTCACCACGCGAGGCATGCACTCTCGCATCATCACCACGTGAGTATTTAAGAGTATCAGAAACTATATGTTTAATGTCAAATACCAAAAAATTTGAATTGAACTCGTTTACCTGGTTACGGCCGTAAGTCGTAAGTGTAAGTGAATGGTGGAAATTCCTTTAAAAAATAAGAACTCTTTTCTTTTTAGTATTTCATGTGTTTAACTCGTCGAGTACCGATTTTATAGACACAATTAAAGAACAATAGGTCGCGGTCACCGGTGACCGCTTGGTGTTTGACAGTTTAAGAAATAAGAAATCTCAATAGAATGAGAAATGAAATAGAATTTTTAATAAAATCCTACTCCAAAGAAATAAATGTATGTACGCAACATCAATAAAAAATATCCTCTTCACAGCGTCGCAGCGGCGGTGGAGTTGGCGTGAATGTAGGGGGAGGCGTAGGAGTGGGAGTAGTGGGGGGAGGGTCCCGCGCGCGACCCTATGTACGACACGCGGCGCGGTGGCCACACCATCCACTGCACCATATACATACACAGGTACGACCATAACCCCCAATCCGCAAATCCCCAAACCACCAATCCGTAAATCCCCCAAGCACCAAATCCCCAAGCACCAAACCCCCAAATCTCCCAAATGCCTAACCGCGGGCGGGCGGGCGTCTTAAACCCCCGGGCTACCACGACATCACAACGACTCAGACAGTATACTAAAAGAATTATATCTGACAGGGCGGCGGCGGCCTGGTAGGCGCGGCGCTCCCCGCGCACGTCCAGGCACAACTACACGTCGCGCAACCACTCTCTCTGCCGCCACCACCACCCACTTACCAGGTAACATAAACACCATGGTGTTTATTAATAATAATATTATCATAACGAAATGTAATCATCATTAGTCATTTAATCACCACTCCGCAATGATAGTGATATAATCACCACTTCACAATCGTGTTGTCATAAATAACCACTTCACTTATCATTATTACTATTTTATTATTAGATTATATCATTATACCTCACCATTATAGAAATTATAATCACCAAAGCGCAATAATTTTGTCATTTAAGTATCATTTCACTTTTTCATAATCACTCCTCTGTAATAGCCGTAAAATTATCACATTGTATGCAAATTATCTGTATTGTATAGTGTACTAGCTTCCGCCCGCAACTTCGTACGCGCAATCCCGTTTTCTGCCGTACCCGTAGGATTTTTATGATTTTTTTCTGTCATAAGAACCTTCTCCTACAATAACAAACACAATAAACAAAAATCAACCAAATTGGTCTAGCCGTTCTCAAGTTATGGCGTGACAACGGGAAACGGATTTCATTCTCATATATATAGATAACCCAAATCACTATTTTACAATAAAAATCAATCAATTTCAAATATCCTCGAAGGGGTAGGGGCAGAGATGCACATTACGGCACTTAATGCCACTGTACAATGTAACACCCACTTTTCACTATTTATGTTATGAGTCCCATGTAATAGGGGGTGAGCCTATTGCCATACTCCGGGCACAATTCCAATTTCAAATATTATTAAATAAAAGAGCTAAAAGTTTCTTAGAGCGTATTTTATAGATGTTTTTATTAAAGTTATACGTAGTGAATATTGTATACTGTAGAATAATATTGTATGTATTATTGTCAATTTACAACGAATATTCTGAAAATCATGTTTTATACTTTTTCAGCGTCGATTTTTATCGTAGTTGTTAAAACAACTGCTTAAGCTCTGTAAAAAGAGAAACAACATTAAAAGCTATTTGCTTCAATATTTTCCTATTCTTTTAACAATTATTAATGAAACGTGTTCTCCAAATTGATCACACACAATCATAGAGTAATACAGACTTGCTGGCCACAGATAGCGTATGAATCCAATGCGCGGAAAATTCTAATTTAAATGAAGAACAGAGAGCTTCATTTACATACGCGCAGGATTTGACATTAAAAATAACCACTTTTGCTCTCCACAGGTGTTCTTAAACCTCCTGGCGATGTTCCCTCTATCCCCCTACGCTGAAGCAAGGGGCGCCGGCGAGGAAGGCGCCGAATCTACAGAACCAGAAAACTACGAAGCCCTATTATCACTGGCGGAGCGCCTAGGCGAGGCTAAGCCCCGGGGCCTTGCTAGACACGAAATTGAAGCCCTACCAAGCTACAAGTTTGCCGCGGCGACGCATCGCGGTGAACAGACGAGCTGTGTAGTGTGTATGTGCGAGTTCGAGGCCCGCCAGTTGCTCCGCGTGCTTCCTTGTGCGCATGAGTTCCATGCTAAGTGCGTGGATAAGTGGCTAAGGGTAAGTATTTTAAGTTTTATTTTAGTTCGGATAATTTTTTGCGGTTCATAGATGGCGTTTATGTCGTTTTTTGGCGGGTGTAATGAATAAATGTTGTTTAAAAGAGCTTGGTTTGTTACATAGTATGGCTTTATTGAATTAGATCTTTTTAATGTCATCATTATAAAGTCCTTCTGGTTGTATTTTCACAATTCGGAGATGGCACTTAGGTAGTTTTAAGACCGTATGTATAGTTTTGATAGACTAAACACAATTTTCTTGATTTAAATGAAAGTCAATAGTTGAGAATAATAATTTGTATTGTAAAATAATAAACCAACGTAAAATGGATTGAGTGAAGTGAGGCCTTAGTACGAGTCTCTTACTTACTTAAAGTAATCGAAACGAGTACGCGTTCTGCGGTCTGATTGGCCGGCGCGCCAATGAACCAACCAATCAGAGCACCAAGCACGAATAACTATCGCAATCGTAACGTAATAGTATCGAGCGCGTTAGACGGTCTGATTGGTTGGTTTACTAGAGCCGGCGGAGATTACATTTGATTCTTGTTTCAACTATATGTCAGACTAGCAGCCCGTCCCGGCTTCGCACGGAGTAGACAATTATTTATTTTTGGAAATTTGGATTGTTGTAGTGACATAACTACAATAGTTGGACATATGCTACCGCGGAGTTTTTTGTAGACATTATGATATTTTTCAATATTGTTGTACATTATTTTGTTCTATCGCTAATAGTTTCGGCAGCGCATTCGACGAAAGACATTTTAAGACTCATTTTTCTACACCTTCGGTTACATTGTTCAAATTTTACCAAGGATCCCATATTCGAAATGAAATGTAGTCTATGTGAAATTGGAAGAATGTAGCATTCTATTGCTGAAAGAATTTTTTAAATCGGCCCAGGACTTTTTGAGCTTATTCATTACAAACATACAAAAATAGGTACAAATCTTTCCTCTTTATAATATTAGTATAGATAACAATAATATAATAATCATTTTTTTTGTTTCAGTCAAACAGAACCTGCCCTATTTGCCGCGGCAACGCATCAGAATACTTCAGCAATACGGAGTGACTTACACACAGCGACACATCTACATATAACAATAACAGACTGTCTGTCTTTCAACTCTTAATACAACGGCTTGTATAACATAACATAATTGGTCAGACGTTGGTGTCACGATTATATGTGTGCACCTTTTTAACATGATTTTTGTAACATTACGTAAATGAAAAGAATCGTTTTTAAACATAATAGGGACGATGACGGAGTATGAAAATTAAAAATCTAATTAGTCCGTCAGTTAGGTAATGAAAAAATATTAGACACGTATTTTTTTATTTTGTCGTTTAATAAAACAATACTTAGATAAAACGAATCAAAGTTTTGGAGTCGGAGCTAAAACGTCATTGCTACGTATAAAATGTACATAGAAGTGACGTCACGCGACATTTCAAATCAATATACCGTCGAAAGTATTCGTTTCTGTAAGAAAATAAAAAATACGTGTCTAATGATTTAAAATAATCTACGAGACGGACATTGGAATAATAATTACTTTTATTTATGTATTTTTCAAATTTGCAATACATAAAATAGTTTTTGTGTATACAAATATCGATGTGTCGTTTGTATGCAAAGGAGGTATTTAAGTAAAATCGTGTCTGATTTTCTTAATTGTGAACGATTTTGAAAAAGGTTGAGTTGACAAGAATAACTGGGAATACTGTTTTGTAGATAAAACTAAGATGTTTTGCTTTGAAACTGCCCTGTAGGTTAAAATAGGAAGATGACAGCGTATGAAAACTAAAAAATCTAATTGGGTATTTTACTTAATCAAAAATAAATTATTTCGACTGTTCAATACAATGAAGTATTGAAAAATAATCACACTTTCATTAATTGATTTTCTGACCAACTTAGTTTTAGTATATTTCTAGCAAATTTTTAAGAAATAAGTACGCTATTGGACGCTGAAAAAACGTGACGTCACAATATACAATTCATAGAAAACTGTCTAATACTGAGATAAAACGGTGTTAAGTTTAGGAGTCGGAGCCAAAACGTCATTTCTACGTATAAAACGTACATAGAAGTGACGTCACGCGACATTTCAAATCAATATATCGTCGAAAGTATTTAATTCTGTGAGAAAATAAAAAATACGTGTCTAATGATTTAAAATAATCTACCAGACGGACATCGAAATAAAATTTAGGAAACTACCCAATTCTGCTTATCCCCTTTCTGCTATATATGGTGTTGTTTTTTTAGTCTTGTTAATATACAGGGTGTTACTTTTTCATCTTTGTTAGTATACATGGTTTTACTTTTTCATCCTTGTTATTATACAGGATGTTACTTTTAATCATTGTTGTTATACAGAGTGTTGCTTTTTCATATTGTAACTATACAGGCTGTTTGTTTTTAATTTTTGAACATACATACAGAGTGTTGTTTCTACTAGGGTGTTTCAAAAAGCAAATATCTTAGTTTCATCTACAAATGGTGTTATAAATTTAGTTACCCTGTGGCAGAGTACCCTCTAACCACAACTTATACATAATAAAATATATAGTATGTCCGTTTTGTCGTTCGTTTCTCGGCAACGGTGCGTGTATATATAAATATAGTGTTAGGTGATTATAGTGTGTGTGCGTATGTGTGACGTCATTAAGATAGCAACGTAAGGTATGGTTTTAATTTTTTCTTCTGTTTTTTTTTAATTTTTGAGACGTTGGTTCGTGTTTTTTGTGCTCTGGGAGTCGACAACTTTGATTTTAGAATTGGTTGCGCAAGAGTTGACAAAATTGATGATCTTAATATACTAACTTCATGTGGCGCTTGAATAAGTATTGTCTTTGTTAATTAATACCGATTTCAATAATTTATCGAGCAAACGACAGTCGCAATGGGCTTTAAAGTCGATTCCCGAGTATAGTAATATAATTAGACCAACCAAGATCAACTTTTAAACAAGACTTCCCAGGGTACAAGATTCGATTATTTATGCAAGGAATGAAATTTTAGTGCGTTAATTGACTAACTTTTTTTTAATTCTTGCTTTGATTCGCTTCCTGTAGCACCTAACAATGCATTATTATATGTCTATGTACGGAAATGGGACGGGCAGAGTGGTTTTATATACGTTAATCTTTTTCGATTATTAAGAAATGGGGTTTGGAACTTTTGTCTTGATAGATATGTTTAAGTCTATAATAACCAATTAATTTATTCAGCTTTACTTTTAAATACAAGCGTTTGATTCCCGGTTTGGTCATACACAAATATGTTTCATTGCTTTGTTGGTCGTAAATCGTTTCAAGTATGAGGTTCCAGTTTGATTACTGGGTTACTTACAAGCCGATGAATTGATTGCCTCGGAGAGTAAATGTGTAAAGTTCGATTCCCAAATCAAATTATTATTGAGTGTTTCAATTTAAATAATTCTCAGTACTACAAATCTAGAATTGTAATCAGCACTAAATAACGTACTTAACTGAAATAAGTTTACATGCTAAAATACATAAAATACCTGTAAATACACTGTATTTACCCGTAAATACATTGTATTTCTATGTAAATACATTGTATTATTATTTTATTCATACATATCTGCCTACCCCTTTACCAAATAACATCTAATAACGTATATGGAACCACTCTACGTAGTCGGACGCTGTTCTAAGCTCACGAAACTTGGTTTGCTTGTGCAATATAAAATACAACTCTATTACTATAGTATTTAAATTCAATTTAGCTCGAATACGTCCCTCTGTGATGGACAAACGCTCCAAAATATTTGTACACAAGAATATCATCAACATCAAATTCCTAATCCCAAAAGGCCGGTAACGTACTTGTAACGCCTCTGGTGTTCCAGGTGTTCATGGGCGACGCCGATTGCTTACCATCAGGTGGTCCGTCTGCTCGTTTACCGGCTTATGCCATAAAAAAATGAATTAGGCAAACATTGCTTTCATAAAATAATAACGGACACCACAAAACATCACATCAATAGGCTATAAGTGTCCACTGCTGACCAAAGGCCTCTTCTCACACGGAGAAGGTTTGAGCATTAATCACCACGCTTGCTCAATGCGAGTTGGCAATTCGTGAGGAAACCTATGCCTTAGCCAAACGCTACTTTAGCGCTTGTAGTTCCAATAATTTGGTTTTCTATTCTACATGTAGACAAGCGCTAAATGGCATTTGGCTACAGCTGTTGAACTTATAATATCTAATTATAAGTTTTTAATCGCCAACCCGCATTGAGCAAGCGTGGCGATTAATGCTTAAACCTTCCCCGTGTGAGAAGAGGCTTTGCTCAGCAGTGGGCATTTATAGGTTGTTGATGATGATGAATAATGAATTCCGGCATTAGTCGGGTATACGATACGGAAAAGTAGGGATGACGAATGTATTCTTCTCTGCTATCAGTATTTTGGAACTTAATCTCACGGAGGGGCACCCCTAGTTGCAATTGTTTTGATTATCGTTGAACATAATATTCAATTTTTTATTGTTTTAAAATTTGTTGACCGACTTCTTTCGTAAAAAGAGGTATTGTTTAACGTTTCGATACGACACTATTAGTTGGATGTTGTCGCGCTATCGTTTTTTTTTGGGGTATATGGCAGTTGTATGTAGGTAGCAAAGTTACAATTCGACTACTGATCAAATATAGTGGCCAAACGTCGACCTATTACATATAAAATATTTCTTTTATAATCTACGGTTAATAAAACCGACTTCAATTCCCCTCTATTTTTGAAGTCGGTTAATTAGAAAGAAAGAAAAACCATTTGTTTTGCTACTACAAAACAAGAATTTGGGAACACACAAAAAATCTTATAGTGTGTTGCAGCGCAAAAGAGTAAATTTTAATTTATATATTATAACCTTCTTCTAAGTGTTACAAACTCATTTCTGAGAACCGCATTCAAATCGATTCGGCCAACCGCGAGATAGGCGCACAAACATACATAAATAGAGTCTGTGTTTCCTGAAGGGTATAACCTGGGTGTCTTCAAGGCCCGAGTGAATAGTTTGCTTATGGGACGACGAGCTCCATCGTAGACCGCATCATCGCTTACCACCAGACGAGATAGTGGTCAAACGTCGGCCCGAAAATTATAAAAGTTTAGCGTTAAAAATAATAAAATGCGTCAGTCTGTCGATCAGTTCTCTAGTTGCTCTATTCGCTCGTTCCAAAGTCTAGATTCCTATGTAGAAGGCCGAGCAAGGAACTCCATAGGTAACATGGCTATGTTCGTTCTGCCTATCCCACAAAAATTCTAGTTACTGCTTAGGTACTCCATAAATCGATAGTATGATAATATCCAATTTATGAAAGTAATCAAAAAGTAGGTCTGTTTAATGTCTTCCAAAATAAATTTACAAAAGTGATCGGTTTACCATCAGGAGTGGTTTAAAATGCGTGTGACATCCTGCATGTCAAGATATCCTTGATAATCTGTCAAAATTATCAAAATTTAAAATAAACAACATTGCCCCACACTAGGATTGTGTCCCGTGTCGTGTGTCCGTTTACAAACATACAAGTTCACATACACATCACACACAGACACGGAATAACAATTTGTGGATCGCACAAAGATTTGCTTTGTGCGGGAATCGAACCCGCGACACGTTACGCGACAGCCGATTGCTCAGCCACCACGCTAATCGTGTCGTCAAATTCTGTAATTTGTTTTACACAATTTCGTCGATACCATGGCCTCACAGAAAGTCGACGTGAAACAACTAAAGCGCTATGTTTCGTCGTGTGAGTGAGGTTAACAGAGGCCCAATTACCACCATCCCCAATTATTAAAACTCCAACAATACTCAAATTCCTAAGCCCCCAAAAGGCTCAAATTCCTAAGCCCCCAAAAGGCTCAAATTCCTAAGCCCCCAAAAGGCTCAAATTCCTAAGCCCCCTAAAGGCCGGTAACACACTACGTTGGTATGTGTTATACCAGACCAATCTACCCCTACTACATCAAGGGAAAGTAGAGAGAATCAGATCACGAGACAGATCACCTATGCGCTGGTACCAAGTCAAATCGGCAACGGGAAACCCAGTCTCTCCAACTCCTCTTATAATATCTTCTGATTCACTTCGTTGCGGGAACCAAGACAGTTATTCATGTCTCTGGGACGCGCCGGACTTCAGTGTTCCGATGTTTTCATGGTTGTATCTACTGTAGATCCTGGCTTACAGGAGTTGCAGCGGTTTTGGAAGGTTGTGGCGGGCTTGTCCCAAAAAAAGACGGCGCCAGACAATCCAC